GCTGTCAGCCGCACATGCATCACACCACAATACACCACCACTTGCACCACTTTTTGTAGTCAGCGGGCATGTTTGCAGATGCCGCGCAGGTGCGTCCGCCCTCCCTGCATGGCACAGCAAGCCACGCCCCACCACAAGGAGTTCGTGAAGGAGGAAATGAGTGCAGTTTAAAAAGTTTTAAGAAATGTATTTCTTTGCTCTGAATAAAAATCTACAAACTTGGGGCTGAGGCAAATAAATTTGCATGAATCAGGGTGAAAAATCTAATATTGTTGTAGGATTGAAGTATGTCAGACTTTCTGAAAAAGTTGGAACATTTTAAAATGTTAATAAAAACAATAGCAAAACAAAGAAAAGCCCAAGAACCTCTGCTCATATTTACTTCTGAAAAACTCTGCCTCTTTTTTCTACTCAATCATGTGACCTAATTAGCTGCAAAATATTCCTTCAGCTGTTTCTTTCTAGTGTTTTGCTGCACACATCCCAACTTTTTCGAGACATGTTGCTGCCACTGGATTCAAAATAAGCAAATCTTTTTACACAGCATCTCTACTTTTTGGAATTTGGGTTGCACATAATCTTAATGTAGTTTATTAACCAGAGTCTAGCATAACTAATGGTTTGTTTGGGGGCTCATGCTCAACAGGTTAAACAGACATGCCCAGATCAAGTCACTAGGCTTTGTTTCCTCTTTCTCTAATAATCAAACATGTGATACAGGAATGCGCACAATCATGCACACTGGAGAGCCCTTACTTAAAAAAGGCACCTTATAGCTTCACTAGAAGCTTATATTATATGAAAAATAAATAAGAAAAAGTTTTTTTTTCATGTTTTTCTTTTAACTTAAGATGATAAATCACAGAAGCTTGTTTACTTGCTAGTGTTGTCTCTATTTCACTTTGCAGATTGTAACTAATCTCAGAGCAGTGAAAGCAGTGTTAGAGGCAGCACATCAGGTTAAAGTGAAAGACCAACATTTCTCCACAGTATGCATGTGCTTTGTCTCGCAGCTTGAAAACCTCTAGCCATTGTTGGCAGGATACCTATGCCTGTAAAACTGGTGCACTGCATGTTTCAGTGGAACCTAAGCCAAGCAGAGTTGAGCCTGCTTCCAGAGACAGTGGTCAACTGTGCCAACAAGATGTCAACAATTTAAACAACAGATGCAAACAAGCAACAGGAGAAGCTTTATGACAGAGCACTGTCTGAGATAAAAGAGTGGTCACTTTACTTTGGCTTTAATTGATGTCTATTTTTATATTTTACTGAACAATTGCCTGCCTTGTTTGTGTTGGTGGAAAGCCACTGCTTAAAGTTAAATGTTGTGTTTTCATCCTGATTTAGCCCAAAAAAAATCTTAATGTAGTAAAAGTGGTTTCTCAATAGTTGTGCATCCCCTTTTCTGTTTTCCTGTTGTTGTTGGTGGAGGTTTTATTTTGTGTTTTTGTTTGTTTGTTTGTTTGTTTTTACTTCACTTTTCCTTGTTTAATTCATTTTGGAAGTACTGTATTCAGGATAGCTAGCCTAGTTTGTGACTCAGCAATGTCAGGGAGAACGCAGCAGGTGAGATAAAGACCGTTGTATTCTACACATATCATTTTGTTACGATATATATGTTTTGATAATATATGTATTCAAGATAAGATAAAAATAATGGGAAATAAACTTTTGTACATTTTTGTGTGTTAATTTTTTGTTTCGTTTTTTCTTGATTTCCCCTGATCCCCTGATCCCCAGAATCCCCGTTTGCTAATCTGGGCTATTTTCCAGTTTGGTCATGAGGAAGCAGTCCTCAAATGACCAGCTTACTGTCAGCTTAGTATCAAATGACAGACAGCTGACTGACTGACTGATTTCATTTGCCACTTCAAAGCAGTAGAAGTACTTTACACAAAAGTGAAGTTGTTTTGTTTTTTTCTTTTACACATCCAGTAGTTAAAGAGTTATATTTGGCGGTGTATTTCTTTTTTAAATCTTATTTTTAAAATACTTTTCACTGAAAAAGAAGAGACCTCAATAAAGAAATTAAGGAGAAGAAAAACAAGTGTAAAACAAAGACGACAAGTCAAGGCTATATATAGTGTGTGTATATGTGTGTTTCCTTGTGAGAAATGTCTCCTTTATTACCTACAGTGTTTTACCAGCTTGATGCTAACTATGTTCAAAGATCTTCGGTGAGGCTTAGAGCTTCTTCTGGACAGATACAAATTATGCTTTGAGGGCTATAAGATTGGGGAAAAGCACATTTGCATACATTACAGCTTAACATTGAAACATTGAGCTGAAACTGTAATGCTCAGCAGGGGCTGCAGACAGAGGCCCATCCCTGCAAGCAATCCCTTTTATATTGTCATCTTACTCTCAGTGCCCTCTGCCTATCAACTATGTAATAGATAGCCAAATCAGTATTTATTTTTTTTATCACTGTATTGCAAGCCTGATGCCTCTCTGATATCGATATGGATGAGTAAATAGGCATAACAAAATAGACATATGTCATCACTTAATGCTGCTGTATCCCTTCACAAACTGCAGATTACAGTGAAGTACTTCAAATTGAGGCTCATCTACTGGAAGCTTTGACAGGTCTTTGTTGTTTCATCATGAATTATTTTCATTGCATTTCTTTTTCCATCTTCCTCTGGGATTCATTAGGTTGCCCTCAGCAATGGGAGGCCAGTTCCAGCTGTTCTGTTGGCCAACAAATGTGACCAGCGGCGTCATGGTTTGTGCCCCAAGCTGCCCAAACTGGAGAACTTCTCCAAAGAGTACGGATTTGTCGACTGGTATGAAACCTCTGCCAAGGCAAGATGAGATTATTTTCTGTTTCTGTCTTCCTGTCAGCATTTAATGGGTCTTAGATTTGGTCACAATAAACAAGCCACACCCCCTGTCTTACTGTAATGCTTATAGTTTAGCATGTGTATATATATCCGTGTGTATCGCTTCCGCAACTGATGTGCCAATCTTAACAAAACTTTGCATGATTATCATCACATATACAGTTATTATTCTCATTATCATTCTGATTATTATGATTAAGGTTTTTTTTTAAAAAAAGAAAGGAAAAAAAATGTTTTCTTATATCCCAATTCTTCAGATTTCCATATTCATCACTCCCCTGCAAATCTGATGTCACATTCTCTGTTTGCGTTTGTTTCACATGTCACGATCAGCGTATGTCCCCGTTTGTAACTTAACGGTCACCAAAGTTTGTATCCAGGGGAAAATTTAGTTTTTTGACCAATAAATACAGAATGAGAAATTTAAAAAATGCTGTAGGCAGCTGGTAATGTAAGGCTGTAAAAATGTTTATTTCTGCTGCACAGTTGTGCATTTTACCATGGGAGTCAATGGGGACCGACTTGCTTTTAGAGGCAGCCTCAAGTGGCCACTACAGGAACTGCAGCATATAGCACGCCTGCGATGCCGTCATTTTTTCTTAGCCCTGGTGTCATGAATCAAATGAGTGTTTGGAACCCAAATGGAGGTTGGTTTTAGGTAAGGCTTTATTTTGCATTGTTGAATTTTCACCAGAAAAGTCCACCAGAAACACAAACACAATCCAAAACTTAGTGGATAACGCGCATAGAGGAAGCTAACAAACGCTGAAACCAAGACTGAGAGGAAGACTGTTATGTATTCGCAAGGGTGACAAGAGGCAGGTGACAAGAGGCAGGTGACAGTAATCTAAGACAATGAGACAGAAGGGGAAGTAAAACTAAACACTCTAGAGACAAGACAACTATTAATATAAAACAGAAGTGTGAACTGTAACTAAACGGAGAACCACCGACAATTAGAAGAACTTCGCTGTCTTATCCAGGAAACATTCAGAATGAATAAAACTGAGGAATATATTTAATTAATTAAGAAAAAACAAAATACTAAAATACTCCAGAAAGCTTAATACGCATGTGCTGCTGTAACAATTGAACAATTGGGATTAAAAAATTATCTATCAACCAAAGAAACAATTCAACCCCAAAGCTTCAAAAGCCCACAGTCTGACCTGGGGTGATGACACCCAGAGGGTACAGGGTTGAAAACAGTGTTGTCAGCACCGTCTCATTTACACACTGGCCCTTTAGAAAAATAAAGCATGTCTTCTTCTAGGCTGTTAGAAGAAAAGAAGTTAGGTACATCAGGTTATAGTGAATGCCATGTTCACATAATATCCAGTTATATAAGTTTTCAATATTCAGTCACAGCTGGCTCTCGTAGCTGCCAACTTGCAGAATTCAATTAGTTCGGCTAAAAGTACCAACAGAAAAACTTGGAATTCAGTTAAATCTTAAAAGGAAATAAAAGTGAGAACACAGCGCTTACTGTGGCACTTACTGTTGATCCAATTTATTTAAATTATTAAATTGAAGGTGGAAGGCTGGAAGCGCAGCTTTTCATTCTTCACCTTACAGAACCTTCAAAGCCTCATGTCCTCTTTTTACCCGTTACATAACAGAAACAAGTTTACTCATAATGAAATGAAGTAGACTTTAGTGAGTTTCCTTTTTTAGTAGATGTTGTAGACAAAAAGAGTATTTGATCAGTTATTTAAAGACGTTAGTTAATATTTTAAATATTTCACCTTTACGATGGAAAAAATGATTAATATAGATGTTCAGCTGTAGCTGCTCCCATTAAAGATTATCAAAGTTTCAGGTAATGAAGTTTCAGTGTACGTGCCAAAAGCTCAGGATTCAGACAACCGTGAATGCTCCATTTCAATGTTTGTTTACTCTTTTACTCATGTCAGCAATAGCTGAGATCCCTAATACGGTCATCACAGGCACACATAAGCTCCACCCCCTGCTGTTCAAACCCTTTGTTTCCAGTGGGCACCCAATCAGAATAAAGTTGCCTTAAAGAGACGGTGGTCTGAAAGAGAAAGGAGTTAAATGATTAGAACGAGAAGATCTTTATTGCCATTAAATGAATGAGCATACAGAAATATTTCATCTCCCTACGGTTCACAACACACACAAGAAAATAGGAATTGCTGCTAAAGGGCTGCAATACAAACTCAAAAAAAGCAAATTGGTAATAAATAATAATAAAATGAGTTGGCATAAGAGGAACAGTGTGGCAACTTGTTAAAGCAATCACATGATTTTGTGTGAACTGATTTAATCCACAATAGTGTTTGTTATGGTAGTTGTATGATTTTGTACTGTTAGAGGGAAAGTTGTGAACAGAGAACGTACTGGGTAAGCGGTATCTCTCGAACTCAAGAAAGCTGCGTTTTAAAAAAAGAAGCCACATGGTGATGGCATAGATGAACGCGTTCTCTATTGAACATCTTTGCATTGTTTTTTGTTGTTGTTGTTGTTGTTCGGGTCTGCAGGAAGTATATCTGTGTTTTCTTTGTGACTGCTAATGTGTCTCTTCCTTGTTAGATAATCTTTGCTGCACCAAGGCAACTGTAAATCATGCAAAGCAAATTTAGGACAAAATGAAGTTGAAGCTGTGGTTCCCAATAGGTCACCATTCTATTGAAAATGCACCCTTTTCCAGCTGTTCTGGACTCTGCAGACATGTGCACAGAGATGCCCAAACCTCCCTGTCCTCAGCCACCTCCTCCAGCTCTTAGAGACAAAGCACTGAGCCATTCCCAAGCCGGTCCTGGGGTAGACTTAGGACACCAGTGTCCTAAGTCTACCCCAGGACATACAGGAAGTGGCTCACTTAGCTGGCTCCCTTTGACGGATTAGCACCTCCGAAATGACCAAGTTCCTAACTCTATCAATAAGCTGAGCCCAGCCACCCTTCAGAGAAAGCTTGTTCCTGCTGCTTGTGTCCATTATCTCTTTCTTTGGGTCATTACCCAGAGCTCTTTTAAATCCAAACAAGACGAGTTTTAGTCATTCGTCCAAGTTTTTCCTGATTGATTAAGGTCCTTAAGACAACCCTTAAATACTTAAATGGACAATATGGTGGATTTTACTGTTAAGACATTTCTCTATTTCTACCTCCATCGACCTTCTTCAACCCTTCAGCTTCATCCTATCTCTCTCCCTCTTTCTCTCCCCAGGACAACACCAACATCGACGCTGCCATCACATGCTTGGTGAAAAGCATCATGTCTGTGGAAGAGGAGAGAGCGTTGGATGAAGCCACCAGTGGCGCCTGTAAGGGCGATCCAGATGGCAGCGTTCTTGTTCTGCCTCGCTTTGACTACAACACAAAGGAGAAGGGACTCGGTGGATGTTCGGGGTGCCTGTCAATTAAACCGAAACAAGACCAGGACTGAAGGACTGTCTGAACCAAAAGACTGCAGGGACATGCAGAGGATGGTGTGGATGACTC